AGGAGCATTTGAACCTCCCCTGCATTCTCCTGCAGCAAAGCCACACCTGGCAGTGTCATCCCAAGGTTTTCATCTGCCAGTTCTCTCCATGGACAGGCCAGGGAGGCAAGAGCTGGAGAACAACCAGAGCTCCACCTCTGTGATGGAGCCAGGAAGGCAACTGGAGGATACACCCTGCAAACAGCCTTGGCACAATGAGAAGAAAGTAGGGGCTTTGTAAGAGCTGAGCAATTCAGTTTGTGTTTTCTTTATTCACTTTGCAAAATACATAGAAAAAGCTTCTCATGCATCATGTTAAATTCATTAAAAATTTGTGACCTCATGCAGAAGCAAAGTTATTGCAGATATGTAACCTCCCAGAAAAAGAACCTGCTCCCAGCTCTGGCGGTATCATCTCCAAAAACATCTCTTACAGTTAAAATGACTAAGCAGATAAAACAGCTCTTAGCCACAATACAGAATAGGCTGCTGACTTAATGGATGCCATCAGGAATCACAAGCACGAAGGCAACACAAGACAGTAGAGGCAGCTGGCTAAACTTTTAGGTCCTTTAGATAAAATCTCTGAAATACCAACTCACCTTGAGTATGAAATGCTAGATTCTTTGAGGAACATGTTCATATCAAAATCTGGGCCCTCCTTAATCAGGAAGGACATTTTTGCACAGCAGAAATTAATACATCCTTTTAGCCAGAGCACTATATTTTGCAAAATTCCCATTTTGACAGAGCAGAGGGTGGGATGAGAGGTAAACATTTGTACAGTTGCGCATTGCTGCTAAACTGAAACTGTGTTAATAATTTAATGCATTAATGAATATTAGGAAACAGAATTACAACTGACCAAATGTATATATTTCAGATGTATACATTTAAATTTGTACTGTGTATAGGTAGCTGTGCTTCCATTTTTCACTGAAACTAACTCATGTTTCTTGCAAAAACTTAAATTATCGAAAAAGCATGGCTTGGTATGCAAGAAATCTGAGTTTTTATCATTTTCTTTCATGCTAATGATAAATCAATGTAAAAAGTTTCTTTTGGCTGTATAGATTCTTAAATATTAATAAAGATAACAAGGAAGATTACAGGCAGAACATTAACTATGGGAACTTGAACTATGGGAAACACAAATTCCTCACATACTTGCAAGTTGATAATTCTCCACCTTCTTTACTCCTCTGTCAGTTATTAATAAGATAAAGGGCTGAGGCCCCTTTCTTCATTTTCAGTAATTGCATTTATTTCACAGCAATGATTTTTTCCCTAGTAATAGATTCTTTAAGGGTAAGTAAAGTGCCAGGCACCAGCTGCACTGGTTCAGCTCCTTCAGAAAAGGACCTGGACAGTATAAGGGTTCACAAGTTTTATAGAAGTCAACAGTACCATGCTATTGTGAAAAAGATTGGACTGTCACATTGCAGAAGTAAATAGATTGCAAGGCATGTCATGTAATAAACTCCACATAGGATTGGCACCAGCTTATCTGGATATCATGCTCACCTTGGACCACTGCCAATCAAGAAAGGCAGAAAACAGCTGGAGATAGGCCAGAGGAAATAAAAACAGCTGGAGATAGGCCAGAGGAAATAAAGAATGAGAGAAAATTCGGAAAATGTGAGCACTAAGGAACCATTGAAAAAAATAGCAGTTATTTAACCTGGAGGAGGGAAAGGCCAAGGAAAGATATGATAGCAGCTTTCCATTAAGTCAAAGAAAAAAGGAATAATCTGCTTTCTGTGCCTATAGGACTGGACAAGAATTAATGCCTTTTTTGTAAGAACATTTCTACATAGAAAGAAAATGTTTCTTATATTGAGCAAATTGCAGTGTTAGAATGGATTGCTGCTTTCTCATTGAAACTCACTGAAAGTCTCTGAAAAAGATAAATATCTGTCAGGAATGGCAAAAACAGTTTATTTTGCCTCTCAACAATAGAATAGACTAAAAAGAAATCCCAGTGCCCAATTCTATTTTTCATGATTTTTTTGAAAGCATGGCACTTCAAAACAGCAAGCTGGACATTGTTTTTCAGACTACATAAAAACACACCTCTGTCTCAAACAAATTCATACTTTTCAATGTTATTTAATACAATAATTATAGCAATTACTAAAATGAAATCACATTAAACAGCATTTGTTCTGCATGTATTAATATTTTTTCCTGATTTCTACAAGTTTAATACCCCTTCTCTATTCTGAAATCTATTTACTTCCATTTCTACAACATAAAACAGTCATTGAAAAATAGGTGCTTTCTTTCTATCAACCAGACCTTTCAAGAAAGCAGAGAATGCAGCCAAAAAAAAGAAAAGCCACTTAGAGAATTACATTTAACACAATTTCTATTTCAGAATCATAGAATGGCTTGGGTTGGAAGGGGTCATAAATATAATTTTGTTCCAACCCCCCTGCCTGGGGTAGAGCCACCATCCACTGTCACAGACATTTTTTCATATAAATCCTTTCTTTGGGACTTGTTCATCTTCTGGGAAGCTGAGGCCCCAGAAAGAGAATGTAAAGAATGATTATCAGCTGCTGTGAAATGCAATAGGATGCACCTGTGATTGGTTCATGTTCCATGTGTACAATTAAGGGCCGATCACAGGGCAAGCTCTCTGGAACACAGTGACAGAGAACTCTCTTGTTTTTAGATTCTTTTCTATGCTATTCTTAGCTTAGCAGCCTCTGCAACTTCTCTCCTTATTCTTTTTAGTATAGTTATAATGTATTATATATCATATATCAATAAATCCAGCCTTCTGATCATCAACTAAGATTCTCGTCCTTCTCTCACTCTGGAGACCTCATCAGGTCACTGTAATAATCCACTATCCCAGGGTGCTCAGAGCCCCATCCAACCAGGCCTTGAACACTTCCAGGGATGGGGCAGCCACAGCTTCTCTGGTCAACCTGTGCCTCCCCAACCTCATTGTAAACAATTTCTTCCTCATAGCCCACCTAAATCTCAGCTTAAACCCCTTTCTCCCTGTCCTCTCCCCATAAACCTTGATGAAAAGTCTTTCTCCACCTTTTTTACAGACCCCCTTCACATTCTGAGAGGCCACAAAAATCTCCTCAGAGCCTTCTCTCCTCCAGGCCAGGCAAGCCCAGTATTCCCAGCCTGTGTCCATAGGAAAGGAGCCCCTGGAGCATCTTCATGGCCTCCTCTGGGCCCCTCCAGCATGTTCCTGTACTTCTTCTTGTGGGGACCCCAGAGCTGGGGGCAGCACTGCAGGTGGGGTCAGTTTTACCATCTGCTCTTTGAAAAAGGCAATTTCAATAGGATATTATATTTAAGGTGGTACACAAAGAGCATCAAAACAATATTTTAAGTGCTGTATCCTACTGTGTGGACAATAGGGTGGGATAGATTTCATTATTAACAACAATTTCATAAGTTATCCAGAATCAGTTAATTTGCTTTGACCAGTCAAGGTACTCTAAGCAATTACTCGGCTGACATAGAACAAAAGATGAAGTGAATTTACATATGAAGTGTACACAATATTACTCTCACTCTTGCTAATACATTGTGATCATGAGAAAGTAAATGAAGGTATTAATTTCATTCACACTCATGTTTTGGAAGCGTCTGAATATGCAAAGCAACATCACAGCCTCATCATGCTATAATGTAAATAAATACAGTATTTCAAACAGCACCTGCTTCTATCATATTCTATTATTACCAAAGTATGTAAAGTATGAACATTACCTTTGAACGGAATAAACATTTTAATTTAAAAATATAATTAATTCCATTGTTCAAAAACTGGAATTAAACCATCATGCAATGACTCATAATACTTCACAAATAATTTGATGACTGCTACTGATCTTTTTTCATTGCAGAGAAGTTTAGCACAATAAAGTAAATTTCCCAGCTTGGCCATGATTCATTTCTTAAGCTGTTTTCTGATACAAAAATGCAAAAACCCCACATAACTATTATAAAATAGCACTCAAAGTATGTTTAAAAATACCAAACTATTGTCTGAACCTTCAGAGACACATCTTAAAAAAATAGTCTTTATTATTCACTGCATCATTTGCACTTTTTACATAATGTAATCACAGGATTTAAATAACTCAATTTAATATTTATCCAGTAACTGGCAGCCAGTATTCTACCCTGAGGGATGTAACTTTTTATAAAAAGCTCATTTTACAAGACACTGGAGTAGTTTTGGCATTACCATCACCTCTCACATAAACCATGCAGAAAACTATAGTTTATCCTGCCAAATGCCTTTTCTACATATGGTGTTTAACAGTGCCCTGTAGGTCTGAAAGCCAGTAATAATAGATTTAAGCTAAAAATCTGGTAGCACACATGTATGTAACACAAAAATTTAAACAATGCTACATTTTCATGGATACATTTACCTTCATAGCCCACATGCATATGAGCAATTAAAATGACTCTTTAAATTGATGTGCTAACTCCTGTAAAAACAGTTTCAGTTTGCAGCAGCTTCCTAAAGTTTAATTCTCCTATTGACATCAGAGGCAGAACTTCCATTAACCTCAGCAATATAGGATCAGGCCACAGGAAACCCAAAGTAATATATTTAAAGACAGCACATACAGATTTTCAAAATTCTCTAATTATGCAAGGATAGGCTGGGCACTTTACTGGGTTAACTGTAAACTTCTAAATTAAAATTTTAAATAGCACATTTTAAATACTACATCATAAATACATAAATACTACCACATAAATAATGACAGAATAAAATCCTGTTATGTGTCCACATGTGGTTAAAGATGGACTGATGAAATTTTTATTGTAGGCAACAGCAAACCTTACAACCTTTTTGACATTTGAAGTCTGACTTGAAGTCAAACTGTGACTGAAGGGAATCAGCTGAATTTGTTAAGTAGTATTTAATGTAAGTCTTCTTTATAATTAAGACACTTCATAAAAAGATTAGTGATGGAGTTTAAAATGTTAATATATTGACAACTGGGTAACATAGTGCTGAAAATACTCACCACTTTCAAAACAGGCATCAAATATAAGATGTCCTTTTTTGGGCTGCCCACAGTAACCAGCTGGGAGAACAATGTACTTGCTCACGTTCCCTGCTATGATATCATCACTTCCCATGGCACTGCCTGTTGCAGTAAAAGTGACAAAAAAAAAACATGAGCATAAAACAAAATATATTTAATATACAAAAACCAGTAGAAGGCTACTTCCCCACACATTTCTACATAAAATAAATTTTTTCACCATTTAACATCTGCATCAGTAAATTAATTCTTTCTTTTCAAAGTGTATATAAGAATTTTGATATAATAATGGCATAATCTGCTAAAGCCTCTCTAAGGGACAAACCACCCAGTCTGGTCCCTTGCATGTTTATGACATGTGTCTGAGCCCTCTCATATGCATTAGTCTGATATTCAGCTGGATCTAATTCTTTCAGCAGGAATTCTCTAGCTTTAGATCCTGCTGGATTCCCTGGAACTGAACTCCTCATCAGGTTCTTTATCACAACACTCAGAAGCTTCTTCCTCTCTATCAGCATTAATGGCATCTTCTTTCTCTATCTTACTGCCTACTTTCATGCATCTTAAATGAACTTAGAACCTTTGAGACCGTTCACTCCCACTCAAATTTGAAATTTTAGAATTATTAGAAGGAAGAGACATACACCCATAGAGCCATGTGACTGAGCCCTCCTTGTTAGGAAACAAAACTCAGAAAAAGAACTTGAATAATTATATTTTTTTAATGGGGCATTATTTCATGGTAAAATATAGAAGGACATAAGTTTCCACACAATGGCATGATTTTTGTCAAAATACATCAGTACTGAATACACTGAAGGCTTTATCCTTACAGTAAAATTATAATAACAAATTGCAGTCTGCAAAATATTTGTTTCCAAATAGGGATAGAAGAACACTAATTTTTTTTTTTTTCCATTTGAGACATGTACAGTAAAGCAAGCAAATAATTGTATATTATATCATAGATTTATATTATAGTGCAAGGAGCACTCAGCACTTTCTTCAATACTTACAGCTTGAACAAGAAATATTTAACAATAGAAAAACTATCTTCTGTATTATAGAAATGAAGAAATGGTATGGCTTCAAGTGCAGAAGGCATGTGATGGGATAATGGGATGATAATATCTTATTTCACTCTGATAAATAGGGCTACTAAGGCTTCTAGAAATAGACTTTTGGTCTGTACTGATTTTTTTGACATTTAAATGGGTTATGGGGGATGATAAATGTGACATAAAGCTCAATTTGTTTTATTTTTATATTGAAAACTATTTCACACAAATGTTACAAGCAATTCATATTGTCCCTGAATGAGAAAAACAGCTTATTAATTAAAAGTGACCTTTCCATACATAAAAGTATTCCACCTCTTGAGGCAAAACACCTTAGCTGAGGTAACAAATTATATCAATGTATTAGTGACACCATAGTTAAAGGGTTTGTCAGGCTTTCTATCATATACTCATATTTTCACAGGTACATAAATCCCACATTGAAAAATATGCAAGTCCAGGTCAACATCTGGCATATGAATCCCCACTCTTCCCCAGGAAGAAATTTGGAACTTACTCTCTTTGGGAAGCACTACAACAGAACAAACAGAATTTAGACCTTTTCTTACTTTATCATAATCTAGAATTCTAGATATTTAATAATGCATTATAGTATTTATTTAGCAAAATTATTATTTGTAACCTCTGGGTTATTTGTTTTAGACTGAATAATTACCAACAGACAGCAATCTGTGGCATTTAAATTGTTTTCTTTAAGTGTACAATTGATACTTAGGATATTTTAACTGGATGTTTTTTACCAGCATGCTGACACAATTTGCTTAAAGCCTGAGAACAGCAGAGACAAACTGAGGCCTGGATGGGGCATCTGTGAATCTGCATGGCTGTGATCCTGTCCCTTGATAAAATTCACCCCTCTGCATTGAGCGAGCTGTAGTGCAGAGCAGCAGCCAGAGGAAAACCCTTCCTCCGTTTCACCTGAGTTGGATCAATACATCCCTCTTGCAGTTAAAATTAGTCAAGTTGGTCATTTGCAATCAAACATTGTGGAATTAAGATACAAAATTAGTGTAAAACCTGCAAATCACCATGAGTGCCTGAGCTGAAAGAATGGGAGGCAGGGCATCACCTGAGTAGAGCTGTTTGAAGACTGGACTCCTTTTGGTAAATGCTCCTTTTGAGTCTCAGCTAAAAGTAACAGACCTCTTAGAAATTTTAGAAGATAACTGGGAAAAAGCTGAAGAAACTAGAAAGGATTACATTCATAAGACAGCAGAGGAAAAGCAGGCAGAAAGAGAGAGTTACATCTCCCTGGCAATTTAGAAAATCTGCCAATGGAGACTTTACACAATGCAGAAGGAAGCTGTCAAGTAACTGTGTCCCAGCAAAAAGTTTCCATCTGCTCCTCCTGACCTAATGTAGCCCTCCAGGAATGAGAATAAAATCATCAAATAGCCTGCAACTCATAGTCACTTAACAATATTACTCTCCTAGCATGTTCTTTATTCCACAGTAATTACAATATTCAGAACGCACTGTTGCTATATTTTGAGTTATATTATCTTTAATCTCTAAACATGCAAAACTGCTGTCTTTGAACTTCACATTATTCAGCAGCACAACAGCACCACGTCCCTTCTGGCATGTTCTCCTTGGGTGATAAAGAAAAGGCCAGAGCAGTGCCTGACAAGGAGCCTGTGTGAGTCCATGATAAACCATGGCTTCACGCCTGTGTGCTCAGCAGAGGCAGAGAGCAGGGCTGGGAACACACCACCACCCTCAGATGGAGAGAACAGCTACCCTGGGCTCCTCTGGCCAATCCTGAGATCCTGCCCTCACAACTGGGGAGCCCTCAGCAGATTTCCTGCCTGGAGGCAAAGATGTATGACAGAACCTTGTGGGGAAGGGAAACAGCTCTTCAATCTGAAACAAACTGAAAGGGAAAGAAGAGAATTAACTGAAGTACATCCTGCACATTCCACTTAAGGAGACCAGATTCTCCTTTGAAAAAAAGGTTAGATAAGACAAGCAAAGGCAAAACCGAGCAAAGAAATTGTCTCAGAATGTAGTTCTTATTTTGTCAATTATTTTTCTTATGGGTTGTAAGACACATAGCTATTTTATTCTAATTCTTTATAGCTTAAACTCCAGGAGGCTCCAGCAAATCCCTAGGATTTACTTTTACTGCAGTATTAAACTTTAATGGTAATTTTCTATCAGGTATAAAATCTGTGGGTGCCTGAAATCTCTGTAAGTATATAAGGCTTTAAAATAAAACCTGGGCAGAGTCTTCTGGTATCTGCATTCATCACTATTGTCATTGTGGATATATTTCACATCAAACTAGTGAAAATGAATAGAATCAGTTCCAGGAGACTGGGATTCGTGGGAGGGAGAGTTTGGAAATTTCCAGAGTTTCTTTGCCCTTCTTAAATTCAAAGGGTAAAGCCAACTTCTTTTTTTTTTCATTTAGGAAAAGATGAAATCAGTATTTGCTACGATAAACATCATGCAAATTTAAGTACATTTTCTTTAAACACTGTAGTTTTCAGAGGTAGGTACCTCTTTAGAAAGTAACAGGGACTCTGGATTGGGTAAACAACAAGCCCAGCTTACAAAAGTGCCAAACATGAAAACCCAGGGAGCAAGCAGCCAGCAGCTACCCTCATGCTACATTAGGCAGGAGAGCACAGCTACATTAAAACAGACATGGAAAAATATAGCAAGAGTTTGCCTGGAAAACCTGCATCTTTCTTCTAATCACACTGCCTAACAATGACAGCCAATTAGAAAGGTGAGGTAACACAAAAACCTACAACAACTGCAAGGAAACTTTGTGGAAGTCTTTCTTTAATTACAAATGTCATCAAATCCCTATCATCCAGGGGCCAGGAAAAGTTTCCAGGTATCCTAGATAAGCTCCATCAGCCTTGAGCAGTACTATTAATAGAAATCCACACAAAGAAGTGAATCTGAACTCTTAGTACAGTTTGAAATGAAAAAAACTAATTCAGATGACCAACAGCAACTCCTATTAGCTCCAAAACATTCAAGTCTCCAGATGAATACTGCTCAACTCACGCTTTGGCTAAGCAGCACTAAAGGAGTTATGCCAATAACAGTGTCTGCTCCACAAACCTGAAAACAATGTCATTTTAGCAAAATTCTTTCAAATTATAGTATTTAGTACAAGTCTATAGTCTCAACAGCTGATTATGTTCTCTTATTCTTTGACTTTTTTTTTTTAATAAAAGCTTTTATATCATTGTCCCTAGGCTTCAGAAACACTGATATTCAGGAAGACAAGCTATCTCTGCTATGAATTCAGAATGGTCTGCAGCCATTCTAAAAATCCTATGGGCAGCAGCAGTCAGGAACTTGGAATTCCAGCTCCATTGACTTAAAAATGCTAAGAAAAAGAAGAAAACACAACTGTCATTTTGATCTTCACAGCCATGTACCCCAAAGCAAGGCTTGGGCATGACCCGGAGAATCTAAACATACTGCAGAGTGCTGTCAATCTGAAATGTACTTAAATCACAGGCACTGTGATCTAAAAAGAAAGGGGAAAAAATGTATTTAGACTACAAATTCCAGGGTTTGAGACAATATCCAGCATGACAGCAGCCACACCTGCTGCCTCACATTGGGGTACTGAGCCCATTCTGTCACCATTACCTATTTCAAAAGTCCAGCAAGGAAAACATTGGTTACCACAAGAAAGAATTGTCATATAGCTTGGTCTAGCTCTAAAAAATGGTAACATTGTGTTGTCATTTAAAAACCAAATTTGAGATAAAGCAGCTTTGCAGCAATTGTCTCTTCAATTACTTTCCTCCTACGGTTTGACCAACAGACTGCTTGTCAAGTCTGTCTCCAAACTGTGAGATGATATTCATATTCAAGAAAACAAGCAAAGTAAAGATGAACTATAGTTTAGCAGAGATTATTAGGCAAATTCTGAGATTTGTACAGATTCACAGGTACTGAAAGTAGTAGAAATAAACTGCCATCTTACTGCCAGGTGCTTGAAAGAGCTTGTGGTTGGTCACATCATTGGAAGGAAACAAAATTAATGGTTTG